CACAAGGATGGAAGAACTCACTTGGAACGGTGTGGAGAACTGAAGCCACCGTTGAAATCCATGGAGATCTTGGTGGAGAGCAAGCAAGAGGCGGCTGGTAGTTCCATCGTACAAGAAAAGTGGCAGAGGAGAAGCTTAGTGGAGAGAAACCAGAGGAGGGGCAGCTAGAAGAGCCCTCCTGGGGTCACGGTCACTTCTGAGTCAGGAAGGACGCCCACGCCTGCTGGCCTGTGCCCACTCAGGAACAATCAGAGCAGGGTGGGGACCGCCGGAAAGTGTCGGTCGTGCTGTGCACAGAGCTGTCAACAGGGCAGAAGCCACACTGGCACAAGGGGCTTAGACACAACCTGTGACCAACACTGACTGAACAAGTGACCCTGACCCAGTGGCGGCTCCTGGAGGCCAGGTTTAAAGATGCAGTCACACTGTCCCCCAGGCATCTGGAAGCTGTGTGAATGCCCAAGGCTGCACCCTCTCAGGATTGACCAGAGAGGGTTGTCCACACAACAGCGCCTCACCGAATATGGGCAAAAAGGAACCCCTGAGCTGCGACAGAGCCCTACAGACCACACACGTCTACCCTTGGAGGGCAAACATCTATATAGTGTCTGGGTTTTCAGGCCCAGTGCTTTGTGCCCTGTGGTCACCTCTCTGGCCAGCCCCTCTGGATTGAGGTTTTACTGGGGTTTTGCCATTGGACACTATCCTTGGGGTCTCCCTGGGCTTCACGCTCTGAAGCAATGGGCCGGTTCCATTCTCCCCATGGACAGTGAGACAAACCCATGTTTCTTCCTACCAATGGTGTCAGGTCTGGAACAAGGTCTACAGGGCTGGAAACTCCTTCTCCCCTCCACGTGGTGCTTCCTCGTGATGAGGGAGAGGAGCTTATCTTGGAGGTCCCTCAGGCCGTGATGGCATCAGCCACCTCAGTTTGAAGTTTGCAATCAAGCAGGAGTGGGTGATGGTAACAGAAACAAGTCAGGAGAGAAGCCAAAGCAAAACAGGACTACCAACACACCCAGACCTTCCCTGGAATGTCTCCAGGCTAGCGAGCTGTCGGTGCCGAGCCCCCAGGAGCAAAACAGAGAGGAGCCTGGGGTGGCACGGTCTCGGGAGGTGCAAGATTCTGTCAATTCAAACATGGGAATAAGCTCCGAGAGAAACCCCGGGTTCCTGCGGGGAGAGGTTGTGCCCAGGAGAGTAGGGACAGGGACGAGTATGGACAGGGAAATGGACAGGGACGAGGATGCACAGGGAAACGGACAGGGACGAGGATGCACAGGGAAACGGACAGGGACGACGATGCACAGGGAAACGGACAGGGACGAGGATGCACAGGGAAACGGACAGGGACGAGGATGCACAGGGAAACGGACAGGGACGACGATGCACAGGGAAACGGACAGGGATGAGGATGCACAGGGAAACGGACAGGGACGACGATGCACAGGGAAACGGACAGGGACGAGGATGCACAGGGAAACGGACAGGGACGAGGATCCACAGGGAAACGGACAGGGACAAGGATGCACAGGGAAACGGACAGGGACGAGGATGCACAGGGAAACGGACAGGGACGAGGATGCACAGGGAAATGGACAGGGACGAGGATGCACAGGGAAATGGACAGGCATGGGGGGGCACCACTCAGGCTGAAAAACCATTCTAACGTGTATGGCTATTTTTACTTTTCAGCTAACCGCCGACTAGAAGCCAGCCCTGGTGGTCTCGTGGTGAAGATCTTGCGCTCTCACTGCCACGACCTGGGTTCCTGACCCCATCGGGGCACCACACCACTTGTCTGTCGATTGTCGTCCTGTGGCGGCTGCATGTTGCTGTGGTGTGAAAGCTATGTCACCGGGATTTCAAGTGCCAGCAGGGTCACCCATGGTGGACAGGTGTCAGGGAGCTTCCAGACTAAGACAGGACCTGGCCACTCACTTCCGAAAAGATGGGTCACGTAAACCCTGAGAACAGCAGCGGCACAGGAAGGTGAGAGGGTGGCCCAAAGGACTGGGCAGGGACACAGTGTCACTGGGAGTTGCAGTCCACTCCACGGCGCTAACGTCAAAGGAGACTAGAAGTCAAAGAAGCAAAGAGTGAGCGAGCGGCGGTGGGGGACCGTTAGAGGCGGGCGCCCGCAATCAGCAGGATGACGTCTCACATGCGGCCAGTGAGGATGCTCCGGAGAACCTGCGCGTTCCCACGTCCCACAGACTTCTGAGCACCTCCGTGTGCCAGCCTCTGTTCTGGGCCCCCAGGGGCTGTCGGCAAACAATCAGTCGAGGTCTCTGTCCTCAGGAAGCTTGCATTCCAGCAGGTTTCTCGTTGAACAGCAAACCCGTGGGTGTGTTTGGGAGGTTGGCACACGCCTCGTGGATTGTGGTAGCTACAGCTCACTCATGGCAGTGACGGCGAGGATAACTGAGAGCCATTCTGGGCCCACCGTGGGCCAGGCGCCGCCCCTGCCTTCTGCACGGCAGCTTCTTCGGCCCTCATTGAAACCCTCGGGTTCTCTTTTCTCCTGAACCGGTCACTATGGCTAAGCAGCGTGGCATGCTCTGATGGTGAATCAGCCCGCTGTCTGGGACAGCCCGCCGTGCCCTCCCCTCCCTGCCACACCTGCACCTCCTTGGGTCTGAAACAAATGTCATCGGTCCCCTCAGAGCCATGTTGATGGAGCAGATACTGGGCTGGGGTGAGGGTCGGCTTGCCGGAGGAGGTGACACTGGGCAGACCAGTAAACATGTCCCAAGTCACACACAGGCCATTCTAGGACGTCAGCACTCAGAGTCCATAACGCACATGTTGTCCGCGGCCACAAAGGGCCAGGAATGACAGGCACCGCCAAGGCTACTTGGTTGTTTAAGCAATCAGAGTTTATTGATAAAGGGAACAGAACAAGCAGGGAAGCAAACAACAAATCAGTGCTTACAACATCCACACCACAGTCAGCCGGGAAGTCCCCATAGTTTGTACAGTGGGCGGGAATGCCCATTGTCCTGGTCTGAGGCAAAGCGTCCTTTCCTCAGTGAGACTCCCAATTATTCTATGCCTATGACTCCCTTTTATCCTAAGGTTTCTCTAGGTTCTGACTCAGGGTTTCAGACATTTAGATACTCTGAGTTATTTCTTCTTGTTCCCATGGATGGAGTGTTTTTATCTTTTTTGTTCCCACGGATGGGATGTTTCTAAAGTCCCATCAGGTGCCCGTTGGGGTGGCCAGCCCAGACAAGGAACATGACGCAGGACATATTCTTTGTAACTTGTGCCTTAGAGTCAGGGCCGAAGTGGCCATCTTTGGCCCTGAGCCAGACACATTCCTTCACGTAGGGCCCAGGCCCAGTGTCCTTGGAAGGCGGGGAGATCAATGAACTCCATACAGCACGAGTGTTGTGGCAGGATGGAGCAGAAATGGGACCACTGTAACCCCATTTTATAAATGAGAGCACCAAGGCACAAAGGGCCACGGGACTTGCTCAGGTTCCCACACCTAATAAATGGTGGAGATGGGATTTTGGTCTGACTCTCGAGGCCACGCCTTCATCCCTGCACTATTCCGATAAAGTCATAAAGACAACTTTCCTTATCATAGTTCAAGGGTTTGAAGATGCCTGTCTTTCCCATTTTAACATCTCTATGCTGGGATGTGTCATATGATAGATGTGACAAGGATAGGCAGCATCAGTTTAATTGGCAGCATTCTGTCTTCCTCCATGGCACATAAAATAATAGTGCATCTGGCAGAAAAGTCACCTGAGGGGATGAAGCGCTGTGTTCTTTCAACAAACATTGATAATGTGCCTACTCCAGACGGCTGTACCAGGCGTGCTGTGCAGAGGAGTGGGAGACACAGAGTCAGAGGATTAAGGATCGCCCACAATGCAACGTGAGTGTGCAGTGGAGTCATGCCTGGGAGGGTGTGGGAGCACAAAGGGGGACACTAGCCAGAGGGCTCTGGGAAGCCTTCCCAGAGGATGGAATATGGGTGGTTGGAGGAAGGAGGTAAGTTTGGGGGGACAAAAGTGGCTCCATCCTGAGGGAGGATAAAATACGGGGCAGAGAGCAGTTCACGATGAGGCTTGAGGCGCTCAGCACCATTGATGTAATGATGCATGACTCAGCTGGACCACGGAGGTTCATGGATGTCATGCTGTGCACACTGCAAGCAACGAGGATCCACTTAAGGAGTGCGAGCAGGCCATGGCCAGAGCCCATGTTGGGAAGTTCCCTGTGGGAGCTTGGTGCCCAGCGGTTTGAACTGGAGGCTGGTTCAGGGGCTGAGACGGTCATTGAGAAGGCCAGCATCCAGGGAGCCAGTGTCAGAGCGCAGAGGAGGAGGTCTGAAACTAGAGATGAAATTGGAGAGGCTTGGTGACTGGAACTGGGGGCGAGGCGGAGAGAAGAGTCAGGGACGATTTCCAGGTTCTGCGCTTGGACAACTGGCTAGGTGGTGATGCCGCTGACTAGGGCAGAGAATAAAGAAAAAGGAACAGTTTAGGGAGAAAGACGATGTGTATGATGATGTGCGTGTTGAGTCTGAGGGTTCTCCACCATAAGGAGGTGGCGTTTGTGACTAAGTGGAGCCTTCAGGTTTGAAGACAGAGTCAGAGGTCAGTAACATTGGGAGTGAGTTAAAACTGTGGGCTCCTTAAGGGGGGAGACTCTGTTTTTCTGTCTTCCCCCTATTTTTAGTGCCTAGCTTGGGAACTGGCACATAATCAATGCTCGATAAACAGTTGCCCTTATGTAAGTATAATGATCATCATAATCTATGGTGTCTATGAGAACGTGTGTGCGGAAGTGTGTCTGCATGTGTGTGTGTGTGGTTACAGTGCTTTTTTTTTTTTTTTTTTTTAAAGATTTTATTTTTTCCTTTTTCTCCCCAAAGCCCCCCGGTACATAGTTGTGTATTCTTCATTGTGGGTTCCTCTAGTTGTGGCATGTGGGACGCTGCCTCAGCGTGGTCTGACGAGCAGTGCCATGTCCGCGCCCAGGATTCGAACCGACGAAACACTGGGCCTCCTGCAGCGGAGCGCGCGAACTTAACCACTCGGCCACGGGGCCAGCCCCTACAGTGCTTTTTATATGCTAGGCACTCTTCTAAGATCCCTGCAGGCTTTAACTCTCGTTTCCTTCCTGAAGTAACACATGAGGTATGTACCACAGTTACCCGCACCTTATAGACGGGGCCACTGAGGCACAGAGAGCCTGACTAACTTGCCTGCTTCCCAGAGCGGGAAGTGGTTGAGCTAGGATTTAAAGCAGGGTGACCTGGCTTCTCTGTGCCTTTGGTCTAGTTTTTTGTTTTAAATAAAATTTTCCTTCTTTTAGCAATTGGTAAAGAAAAAATTTCAGCACACAAAAGGTTAAGCTCCAGCGGTTTGGAAGTTTTATTCTTTCGTCTCACTTGGCAAATGCACATTCATATGACAAGATTCAGCCTGAGCATCACCGTCTTTATGAACCTTTCCTTGGCCCCAGGTCTTTTCTTCCAAAGTTAAGCTCTCCTTCCTCTGGGCTCCCCTATACCCTTAGGATGCTGCCATTAAAGTATTTACCACTTTGTACTGAATCTTTTTTTTTCTCAACTTGAATCCTTCCTGAAGATGGAGACTAGCGTTTGCTAATTGAATGAATGAAGAAAAAAGGTTTTCCTCATTTTACTGACATTTGACAAATAAGGTGTTAGCATAGACAGCACACTTCCTGCTCTCTCCGAGCTTCCAGTGCAGCTGCAGGGACCACCACAGAAGGGCCACCTTCCCCCACACGCAGAACCTTGGAGTACGGTGTGTTGCCACAGGTCAATCAGCCACAGCCGCTCCTCATAGCAAGAGCCGAGCTTAGGGCCTCATTGCCTCTGCCTCATCCCGTGTCCAGGGAGGAAGTGAGGGGTGCTCCCACGATGCCTGTAGGGGGACATCCACGCGCTCCCCCAAAGCTGGAGCCCAGACAACATAGACACCAGGTGCTGACACTGGAAATCCGGGAATTCCTTTAATATTCAAGATCTCGGTTTCTTCTCTTTGATGTAACGGGATCTAGGAATGCTCAGAACACCCCCTGAAACCCCTGTTTCCTAAAGACCTGTTTATATTAGTCCTTGCTCTGTGTTTATTTGGGAGTAAAATCCACGTTTGGAATCCTCGCAGCATATGGTGAGTGTTTGCTGTACGGGGTGGGGTACCTGTTTCTGCATCATGTGACGAAAGTGCAGCAGCTGTAATATCTCATTACAGGGCTTCACTTTATTTAATTAAAAAAATAGCACTGCTCTACTTAACAATATTATCCTCGTCCCCCACCCACCCGCAAAACCTGATCTGCAGTTTCGATGCCTCTGCCGTAATCGCTTCGGACGGTCTGCACGTGACGTGGGTGAGCTCGAGGATCGGCTTTCCATCTCGTTGCTTCAGACGGTGCTTTCACTGTGAGCCATTAGTCACCAGATGCTGACAAGTGTTTGTACGGATGCCATCTCCCCCTTTGTTTATATGCAAGTGCAGCAACCGAAATGATTTATTTATGCCTTAATTAAAATTTGTGGATAGACCAGTGAGTTTTAGCAGTGACTTTTCTAATTTGTGGGTTCCAGAAAGAAAAAAATCAATAACCTGATACCATTTATGTTTTTATAGTTACCCAGGCATTTATAATGCAGACCTGCCACTCACCTGCAGCCTCCCTTGGAGGAGAGTGGTCCTCGCCACATAAATCTCCCCCAGAGGCCGAGAGGGTCCATATTTCAGAGTCACTTCCCTTCTGTGTCAGCTGCGAGTGAGATGTTACATGCTTTCCATTCTCATGGTTCTCATGGCAAGGCACAGGCTAAAATTCACATTGAAAGTAAATTGATGGACTGTAAGTTTTATAATACCTGACCCAATCTGTAATGACTGCTTAGAATTTTAATAATTTAAGCCCAATGAATGTGATTCCTGCATATCGCTCTCCACATTGAGAATGTACCCCATAGGGTCTTTGGAAAGAACTTACCCCAAATGCCGAGCTTTTATGGGAACTTAATATATTCGACATTGCAGGTGCATAAATCTCCATGAAATTGCACCAAGTTAACGTATTTACTGGTGCATGCAATTTAGTAACTACTTTGTAAAAGTCTAAATAAAGATAGATAAGACAGGTAGATATGGAGAAATAATGAGTAAATGTTCCAATGTATATTAACAAGATGAGTTAATTGCCTTCGCAAGGCTATCAGCCTCACTGGAAAAGAATTAATTAATTTTCAAGGTGTTTGGGATGGTTTTAATTGCTGTTTCTCAAAGTCTGGGGGAAATGAGCTGTTTTTGCATTTTCTGCCAAACTCAAGTTATTCTCTCCCCAATAGTCAGAGCTGGGGGGTGCGAGGGGAGTGATGACAAGCTGGGTGGAAAGAGAGATGCTCAGTTTTGCTCGCCTCTCCCCCCGCCCCCCGGAGATAAAGGCACAAGTAGCGAGGAAAAGCTCATTTTATTCAGAAAATCCTCTTAAGAAGGACCCCGCTTGAGTTCCTGCAGCCTCCTCTTCTTCAGAATACGAATCTTCCGAATCTTCCGCAGTCCATGCTCACACTCATGCGCACGTGTTTGACTTTTCCCCTTCTCTCCTGCCTCCCCCTTCCCTTAGTTTTTGCAGTTCAGCTCTGGCAACATTCGAGTCAAGTGTCAGGCAGCACGTTGGAAACATCTGGCCATTCTACAAGAAGACTCCCTCCCCCGCCCCCAGCTTACCTTTGGAGGACAGAGTTTGTGTCCTTTCCTGGGGGCAGATTTTTAAGTTCGTGGAGATAACATTTCATTTCTTGGGAACTATCTAACTCAAATATAAATGTGATTTTAAGCAGCAGCACCCTGTCTTCAGATAAAATCTTGTACAGAAGCTCATTTCATAAATTGAGTGAGTATGAAACTGCTGCTCTGCTGGAAATGGTGGATTTAAAATAAATGATGAAAGAGATGGGCTTGTCTGCTACTGTCTTCCATCCTGATGTGGTCCATGGGCGTCTTGGGGCTACTTAGGGCAGAGGTGGAAAAGTCACTGAACTAATTACTTCGGGGCCAATCACAACAGCAACATCTGTGAATTTGGGCCAGCAAGAAATGAAAAAGCCCACCAAACCTTGCCATGGCCTCCCTCCTTCCTAAGCAGGTCCCCTCTCCTCCTTGGCCACCTATCCTGTCTATTTCAGATACACTGAATGTCTTCCTCCTCCTGGAGCACAGAGCATTCGCTCCTAGCCCTAGGCTTTGACATGTTCTTCACTGGGCTTGGAATACGCTCAGTCTTCTCCCCTACACATCCCAGCATCTACTGGCTCACTCCTACCAACCCTTTAACCTCGAGTTCTCATGCTGGGCGAAGCCTGCCCTAACTCTCTGTGTCTCCCCAGGATGTTTTCCTGTGATATCAAGCCCTTTCACAGTCAGCACACAATGCTCTGAATTTATAGTCTTCTTTAGTTTCTCTCTTGTCTGTGAACATTGATGCAAAATTCCCAAAGGAAATAGAGCAAAACCAAGTTGAGTTTATTCCAATAAAAATGTTGATAAAACACTATACCCAGTTATGATAACAAATGAACAAAAAACCTTAGCATATTAGAAACAAGAACATCCTTAGTCACATCAAAGTTTTTTTTTTTTTTAACTTTTCTTTTTGAGGAAGATTAGCCCTGAGCTAACTGCTGCCAGTCCTCCTCTTTTTGCTGAGGAAGACTGGCCCTGACCTAACATCCATGCCCATCCTCCTCCACTTTATATGTGGGACACCTACCACAGCATGGCTTGCCAAGCCATGCCATGTCCGCACCCGGGATCGGAAATGGCGAACCCCAGGCAGAGAAGTGGAACCTGTGAACTTAACTGCTGTGCCACTGGGCCAGCCCCAAAGTCGTTGTTTTTTTTTTTAACTCAAACAACCTACAGGAGGTATACTCACAGGCAAACTATTAAAAGCTTCTTCCCGAAATTGGGAATGAAATGCCTACTATCGACTTTATTCAACATCACACAGAAGGTCACAGTCAGCGAGTGAACAAGAGTCTGAGAGGATGAAGATTGTGACGGAAGAAAACTGTCATGATTCACAGTCGACCTGACTGCACAGAACGTCCAAGAGTCTAAGACGAGCACAATTAGAAACTAATTTAGCAGTTCTCTGGATATGGTCAGCATACAAACGTCAGGAGCTTTTCTTTATACCAGCAACAACAAATTGGAAAACCATATTTCTAAAAGATACCATTTATAATATTTATGAGTACACGTAAAGAAAGAAGTGCAACACCACTATGCCATTAAACGTGATTTAGAGAAATCAAAGACGTTAGGTATGTGGAGGGATAGACCGTGTGTCTGCATTGAAAAAATCTGTATCATATATATATAAACGTCAGTGCTCCCCAACATGATCCGGAGATTTCAACGCAACCCTGTTCAGAATCCCAGCAAGTTTTTTTGGAAATTGACAGCTGATTCTAAAATTTATACAAAAACATAAATGACCAAAAATAGCTAAAACGGTTTTGAAGGACAAAGGTTGAGGACTTGTACAACTGTATATCAAAACGTACCATAAATGTCTAAAGTACACTTGAAAAGAATGTGTTTTCTGTGATTGTTGATTTTAATGTTCCCTACATATCCATTGGATAAATTTTTTCAATCATGTAATTCATTTCTTTTGCATCTTTTCTGATTTTATTTTTGGTCTGCCTATTCTATCCTTTACTCAGAATGTCTGTTTAAATTTCCCATTATGGAATAAATTTAACAAAAGATGTGCGAGACTTCTGCTCTGAAAACTACAAAATGTAATTGAAAGGAACTAAAGAAGACAAATAAATGGAGAGACACCCCATGTTCATAGATTGTAAAATTTAATATTGTGAAAGTGGCAATACTCCCTAAATTGTTTCTAGATTCAACACAATTCCTGTCAACATCTCAGATGGAATACACTCTGAAAATACACTCAAATAGCCAAAACAATCTTGAAAAAGAACAAAGTTAGAGGACTCACACTTCTCAATTATAGAACTGTAGTAATTAAAACAGGGTGGTATTGGCAAAAGGATAGGTGTATAAATCAATGGAATAGAATTGACAGTCCAGAAATAAACCCTTACAGTTACGGTCCATTAATTTTCAACAAGGGGGCCCAGACATTTCAATGGGGGAAAGCACAGTCTTTTAACAAGTGGTGCTTGACAATGGATATCCTCAGCAAAGAATGAAGTCGGACCCTCATCCCACACTATATACAAAAATTAACTCAAAAGGCTTTGTAGACCTAGATGTAGGAGTTGAAACTAAAACACACACACACAAAAACAGAAGTAAATCTTTGCAACCTTGGATTAGGCAATGGTTTTGTAGATGTGACAACAAAGGTACAAGGGATAAAAGAAAAAAGAGCCAAATCAAAATTACATAGATTTTTAAATAGATTCATCAAAATAAAAAAGTTATGTGCTTCAAAGGACAGCAGCACAAAAGTGAAATTGAAAATCACGTATCTGATAGAGGACTTGTCTCCAGAATGTAAAAAGTACTCCGAAAACTCAAAAATAAAAAGACAAACAACACAATTTTAAAATGGGGAAAGAATCTGAATAGACATATCTCCAAAGAGGATACACAGATAGCCAACAAGCACATGAAAAGATGCTCAACATCGTTAGTCGACAGGGAAACGTAAGTGAAAACCACAGTGAGATACCACTTCACACGCACTAGGCTGGCTACAATTATGAAAATAAAAACAAAAACCCCAGACAATTGCAAGTGTTGACAAGGGAGTAGAGAAATTGGAAGCCTCATACATTGCTGGTGGGAATGCAAAATAAGGTAACTACTTTGTTTAGCAATTCTTCAAAAGTTAAATGTAGAGTTAACCATGTGACCCAGCAATTCCACTCTTAGGTATATTGAGATAATTGACAGCAATACCTCCACATGGAAGGTTGCACAGAGATGGTCCTAGGAGCATATTCACAAAGCCCCAAACTGGAAACAACCCAAATGTTCACCAACTGATGAGTGAAGATATAAAATGTGGTATATCCTTACAAGGGAATGTTACTTGACCATAAAAAGGAAGGAAGCACTGATACACACTGCACCATGAATGAACATTGAAAACATTATGCTAAGTGGAAGAAGCCAAACACAAAGGCCACGTATGTGTGACTTTCTACGTGAAGAAACATCCAGAAGAAATATGGCACATCCATAGAGAGTAGAGGTTGCAGGAGTTTGGCAGGGGCGGGAAAGGGGAGTGCATGCTCATGTGCATTTGTTTCTTGCAGGGAGATAAAAATGTTCTGAAATTAGATACTCGTCATGGTGACACAACTCTGTGAATGTACTAAAAGCCACTGAATTATACACTTTAATAGGGTGAGTTTTATGATTGAATTATATTTCAATAAATCTCTTATTAAAAAAATCTCCCACTGTGATTCTGCATTTGTCTATTTCTCCTTTTTTGGTACAACTCTGCTTAGTATTTATTGAAAATATGTTTTAGGGAAAAAAATTTGACTTGTGTCTTCCTGGTAGAATGATCCTTTTATTATTATGAAATATCAATCCATCTCCAGTATCACTTCTTGCCTTTAAAATCTGTTTTGTCTGACAGTGGTATATCTACACCCTGTTTGTGTTAGGGTTGCATTGTGTTTCTTTCCCACACTTTTGTTTTCAGCTCTTCCCTGTGCTATATTTACATTGTATCTCTTGTAAGCAGCACACAGTGTTTTCTCTGTTTGTTTAACCTAGTCTTTGTCCTTTAATTGGAATTTTGTTTGATTCATCCAGTCTTTGTATTTTAATTAGAATGTTTACTCCATTTAAATTTAATGTAATTACTGATTTACTGGGTTGAAATCTACCATTTTGTGCTATTCATTTATTTCTTCTACCTTTTCTTTTCTTTTTTTTCTTTAAAGATTGGCACCTGAGCTAACATCTGTTGCCAATCTTTTCTTCTTCTTCTTCTTCTCCCCAAAGTCCCCCAGTACATAGCTGGATATTCTCGTTGTGAGTGCCTCTGGTTGTGGCATGTGGGACGCCCCCTCAGCATGGCCTGATGAGTGGTGCCATGTCCGCACCCAGGATCCAAACCAGTGAAACCCCGGGCTGCTGAAGCGGAGCACGTGAACTTAACCACTCGGCCATGGGGCTGGCCCCTATTCTACCTTTTCTATGATGCTTTTTCTCTCCCTTCTTGTCTTCTTTTGGGTTAAGATTTTTTTATTATTTCATTTTCCCCTCTATTATCTTGTTTGTTATACATTCTTTTATTATTCCTTTGATGTTTATCCTGGAGACTCCAACATGCATATTTGACTTTTAAAATCTAATATGATAACTCTAGTGCTATGATGTACTATATTACATATTGTATATCATTGCATATAATGTAACATCCTCTAAGACAAGACATGCAGGAACATATTGGAACATCTTGACCTATTTAATACCCTTCCGAATTTCTGCTCTGCTGTCATGTATTTTAATTCTCTATGTGTCTTATATCCCACAAGACATTGTTATTATTTATACAGTCAACATTAATTTAAGTTTCTCTAAAATTGCTCTTTTCTGTCTCTCTTCTTCCCTTCCTGCATCTCCATGCTTCTGTGAGGGATCCCTTTCCTTCTGCTAAGAACATCTTTAGCATTTTCTTCAGTGTGCATCTGCTGTCTAAAAGTGTCGCTATCTTGACTTTGCTTTTGAAATACTAGGTCACCAGTTATTGTGTCTCTTCTAATATATTTTATTTTAAAAAGCTGTATGTGACTCTTACATTCATTTCACAAACCACCGCATGGAAGGCTCGAAGTCCACCACAAACCATTACAAACCTGTAGATTGAGAAACACTGCTCTAGAAGGTGCCCCCCGATCATCTCGCTCTTCCAGGCCACCCTGAGAAGTACAGAGGTTCTCACAG